AGAAGCAGCCTGGTAAGTTGCAGAGCTCCCCCCGGTCCAAAACAGTCCAGTGGCACCTTTAAAACCAAGTTTTATTCAGGTACAAGCTCTCCCTCCTCTGTGAGGACAGATCTGCACGTCCGCCCCCCAATAGCTAGCAATCCAAAACAGTCCAGTGGCACCTTTAAGACCAAGTTTTATTCAAGTACAAGCGTTCCCTCCTCTGTGAGGACAGATATGCACGTGACCAGTCCACCCGAAGAAAACAGCCGCTTCGGAAAGTGGACTCTTTGGCATCTGGCCCCGCTGAGGCCCTTCCCCTCCCCGAACCCTGCCCGCCAGTCCCAAATCTCCAGGAATTTCCCAAACCAGAGCTGGCGAGCCTAGCAAGCAGGGCTATGACTCTCCGGTCAGATAAGCCCGGCTCTTCACCCCACCCCACCCCACCCCCATTTGAATGAATTCAGAGCCGGGCTGTGATTCAGCAGCAAGACAGGAGTTAAAGGAAGCAGTCGCTTTTGTACCTGTGGCTTTGTGGTCCCCTTCACTCGTCCCAAGGCCTTATCTCGGCTACGGGGCACTGTCGGAGCGACAGGTGGAAAGCTGCTTTTTATAGAACCCTGTCCCCTGGCCGTTACACACACACACTCACACACACACACCACTTTCCTGGCTGCCTCCAGGGCTATTTATACTTGACAGGCTTGCACGAGATCCCTCTGAGAATGTTTGGTAGGGGGGACTGGGTTTCAAAACAGGAGGAGAGAATACAGGCAGAGTTCCTCCTCTAAAACAGAGGCTTGTGTACAAAGTTGGTAGACGAAAGACTTCCATAGCTGTGTATTCCTTATCCTAGGTTCCCCTCGGAAGAAGAAGAGATTAGAATTATACCCCTCCCTTCACTACCCAAAGGTGTCTCAGAGCGGCTGACAAACTCCTTTCCCTCCCCCTCCCCACCACAGACACCCTGTGAGGTCGGTGGGGCTGAGAGAGCTCTGACAGAAACTGCTCTTTTTCAACAACAGCTCTGACAGAACTAGGGCTTGCCCAAGGTCATCCAGCCAGGTGCAAGTGGAGGAGTGGGGAATCAAACCTGGGTCTCCCAGATTAGAGTCCACGCACTTAACCACCACACCAAACTGGCCTTCCTTTAGTTATGAATAAGAGCATTAGTAGCCTAGAACAAAGGGACCACCTTGAGTTTTGTTGTTGTTCAGTCGCACAGTCGAGTCCATGAACCACATCACACCAGGCCCTCCTGTCTTCCGTCGTGCTCTGAAGTTTGCTCAATTTCATGTCTGTTGCCTCGATGACACTGTCTAACCATCTCATCCTTTGCCAGCCTTTCCCAGCATCAGGGTCTTCTCCTCCAGTGAGTGCTCCCTTCTCATTGGGTGGCCAAAGTATTTGAGCTTCAGCTTCAGTCTCTGGCCTCCCAGGGAACAGTCAGGGTTGATTTCTGAGGCCCTCCTTCCTGAGCTAAGGCAAAAATCTGTGAGCTGGAGGCTAAAAAACTGTGAGCTAGCTCACACAAACTCAGCTTAGAGGGAACACTGCTTGTGGCCCTTTCTTCCACGCCCAGGGAAATGCCGATCGGCCACTTTGGGGTCAGCAAGCGATTTTTCTCCAGGTGTTATGTGTTGGGATGGAATCGTCCCTGATTGAGTTTAGAGCACAAGAACAATAGCCCGCCAGGATTCTGAAAGGAACCAATCGAGTCGTAATGTTATGTAAACCGCCTATCGCTGGGAATGGGGTGTGTTGGGGCGTGGCAATTGCATGCTTTTATTGTTAATAGATTTATCACTAACCTTAGGAAAGTTCTTGTTTACTATTTAAAGAGAGAAGCTATCCCAAAATTCTGTAATATGGATGTTTTCATGTCTGCTTCTATATTTGAAACTAGGGAGCAAAGCCCGTTGTGGAAGGAGACAACGGGCCCCTAGACAGGTAGGGTGGGTGAGTGGGGAAAGAAAGCTGGGGAAAGAAAGGGAGAGAGATGGGAGTGTGGAGGGGAAGGTATCTGTGAATTCCCTGCATTGTGCAGGGGGCTGGACTAGATGACCCTGGAGGTCCCTTCCAACTGTGTGATTCTATGGTTCTAGGCAACGGCACACTAGCTCAAAAAGGTCTTGATGTACTTCTTCACCCAAAGAGTGATTCACACTTGGAATTCACTGGCACAGGAAGTGGTGGCGGCTACAAGCATGGACGGCTTTAAAAGGGAATTAGATAAGCATATGGAGCAGAGGTCCGTCAGTGGATATTAGCCACAAGGTATAGATAGGGACTCTGGGGCAAGTGATGCTCTGTCTTCTTGGTGCTTGGGGGGGAGGGGCAACAGTGGGAGGGGGCTTCTAGTGTCCTGGCCCCACTGGTGGACCTCCTGAGGGCACCTGGTATTTCTGGCCCCTGTGTGATACAGAGTGTTGGGCTGGATGGGCCACTGGCCTGATCCAACATTGGCGTCTCTTATGTTCTTATGTTCTTAAGAGCAGGGAAACAAGGCCATGTCCACGCATAAATGCCCATTCCCTCTGTGATTTCTCATCTTATTTATTTATTTATCGTTTCGATTTGTATCCCACCTAGCCACAGGACTGGCTCAAGGCGGCTAACAACATTTAAAACACTCAGACAATAAATACATTAAAAGACATTAATAAATTATCTTCCCTCATATATTATTTTAAAAACCCAAACAGTGCAAGTTGCCGATGTAAAATATTTATTGTGTTCAGCAGTTAGGATTCTAATGCATTTACATTCGCTTGATTATTAAATGTTGCCCCCCCCCAAAAAAAGCCGTGAGCACAAATTCCATAACGTTGAGTACCTATATTCATGTGCGTATGCACCAGTGTTCCCTTTAAGCTGAGTTAGTGTGAGCTAGCTCACAGTTTTTTAGCCTCCAGCTCACACATTTTTGTCTTAGCTCAGGAAGGATGGCTCCAGAGCAGACCAAATTATGCAGTAGTCAAATCGCTTGCTCACAACTTTAATGCCAGTAGCTCACAAAGTAAAATGTTTGCACACAAGACTCCACAGCTTAGAGGGAACATTGGTGTGCACTATAAACTTTTTCTCTTTCCGTTTGATGGCTCTTTATGATCTCCACCGGGTATCAAAAGGGATTTAGATAGGCATATGGAG